CCTGACAAATGCCTTGGTTTTGGCATGACTTAGATTGAAACCTCCTGAGACCCTTACAGAGCAGATCTTGCAGGCCTTGGAGAGTATGACTATACTGCAGCTTGAAGGGTGGGGTAGAGATACCAAAGCTAGCTTTAAATTAGCTGGTTTGTATATTGGAACCAGGGTAGTCATGGTAATACAAACCTCTGGTGGGGCTAATTTACTCTCTTTCTGCCATGAAAAGACTGCCTGATATCCAAGCTGCTGTATCGTGTAGCCATATCCTAAATCTGATGCCAGTGCTGAACAGTCCTCTGAACAGAGAAGCAATACCAGGTCACACCCTCCTCTGCCATTTTCAGTGGCTACTCACTTTTATACAGTGATGGCCAAAAGAACTGACTGCTAATGATGGTGAAAGACTGGATTTCCTGGGGCCAGGTTTGGCTACCCAGCTGCACTATGCCAGCAGAGACAAGAAGGCTAGACCTTTGTTTGCAGTGTGAGAGGTAAAGATTTTAACAAAAAAATTATTGGTTTTAAAAATCTCTGTATAGGCCCATTTTCATCCTCATCTCCCATCTGGAGATTTCCTTGGTTTATTTGCCTCTCCATGCATTTCTGTGTGTTTGGGAATATCAACACACTTCATCTGTGGTATCCTTGGTCAATCTTGTATCCATAGTTCATGTCGTAGACAAATAACATATATACATATTTCAATACTCAGACCAGTGCTTTTCAACTTGTTCATCAACAATTTGGATTCAGGTATTTAAAGCAAACTAACAAAGTTTGGTGACAACAGCAAACTATGGTGGGGCGTGGTCACACATAAACAGGCTGGCAATACAGGCCAACCTGGACAGGCTCATGAGGCTCAACCTGATATTGTTTAATATGGAGAAATGTAAAGTGCTCCATCTGGGAAGAAATAATCCACAAGACACTTACACACTCAGCAGTGCTACACTTGCCAGCACCACACCTGAATGAAACCTGGATATCATGATAGACAAGAAAATGAACATGAGCCACCAATGCGATGCCATACCTGGCAGAGCTAATCAAACACTGGCATGCATCTATAGAGGCATCTCAGGCAAGGCTAAGGATGTCATCCTCCCTCTCTACTTGGCCTTGGTAAGACCGCAGCTGGCATACTACATCCAGTTCTGGGTGCTGCACTTCAGGAAGGATGTGGAGAAGCTCAAGAGAGTCCAAAGGAGGGCCATGCACATGATTAGAGGTGGAAAGACCAGGTCATATGAGGAGAGGCTGAAAGACTTGGGAATGTTCAGCCTGGAGACAAGAAGACTCAGAGAGGACTTGGTGGCAGCCTGTAAGCATATCAGGGCCTGGGGAAGCATCTGTTCACCAAGGCCCCACAAGGGAGGACATGTAATAAAGGACACAAGCTGATTGAGGATTGCTTCAGGTTAGACATAAGGAAAAACTTCTTTACAAGTCGAGTACTAAGGGTTTGGAACAGGCCGCCCCCCAGAGGCGGCACAGTCACCCACCCTGGCAATCTTCAAAAAGCATCTTGATGCCCATCTTGCTGGCATCATCGGATTCCAGCAGACTTTCCTGGACCCAGTGATCTGTAAGGTCCCTTCCAGCCCCTAACACCTATGAAACTAATCTATACTACTCTGTATGGAGAGTTTCTGTACTCTTAGAGGGGAATTACAAGTGGGATGGTGCATTGAACATTCAAACAATGAAGTGCATCAGAGTGCTCTCTTAACTCAGCTTCAGAATCTAACTCATTAAAATGGGAACAAAGAAAACTCTTGTCTAACCAACTGGGTGGGTTTCAAGCCACCTCTAAGACAAAAGCTCAAGTGAGCTACTGAAGGGACAGATAATATAATCCTACTCATCTATATGTCTTCTAGTGTAGCGTGCATGCCTCTTACTAAAGGGGATCAGTGCTTTCTCACCCTGCACAGAAACAAAACAGGAGTATCTTGCCAATTGACAGGGTTTTGCTTCATTTCTGGATCTTGAGAGAAAGTCTAATCCTTTAGAGCTTAAAGAATCGCCTCCTTGTTACTACATGCGTTATGGCAAATTAATTGCTGGTGGAACTCCACCAAAAGCAGTGGTGTTCCACGAAGGTTGAAACTGGCCCATTCTCATTTTTGAATTTGTGAGTTATTTAATCTATTGAGTTGCTGTTGCAATAAAAGTAATTTCCAATCAATTAGTTGAACATTTTTTTAAAAACTGGTAGGGAGCAGAGGACCCTGCAGAACAAAGAATTGGCTTTTCATGCAAATGCTTTTGGTAATGACAAGAGAATATAAAACAGACCTAATCTCAGCCAGAAGGAGAAAGGGTGTCTTGACAAGGTGCTTTCCAGAGTTTACTTGGCATCATGATCAGCACATTTGTTATAAGGTGAGGTGTGAAAGGAGAAAGGAGGGTATTAAAGTTCTTGTCACCACAGAAAAACTCTCTCTTCAATACTAAAGAGTTTCAGCTAAGAAGGTGATGCAGGGTAAATGGCATTTGACGATTTATTAGATGTTGTTTTTGGCAGTACTGCCATGACCATGCCTCACATTACAAGCCACAGCATTGTACCCCTGAATTAGAAAAGACAGACAGCTGTGTTCACTCAAATGAGTGAGAATAATCAAAGTTCAGCACTGTTTGCTGCCAGCCCCTGCTGCAAGGGTCCAGCTGTCTCTAAAATTTTCCCTTCACCTCACAGGGTTGCACCTCTGCTCTTTAGATTGTTTTTTAAAGCCTATGAACTGGAGATGGCAGGTTGCTTGGTTGGTTGCTAATGGAGCATACTGTGGAGTCTACTACATTGCAGTAGGATTTCATAAGCTTGACACGTTACAGATAAATGGCATTGATGTCATGGGCCAGAGATGTCTCTATCTTCAGTCCAGTGTGGAACATCTGAGGATTATCTCTGAAGTTGACTATGAACAAGATCTGTGTAATGCATCAGGCAGAAAACTCATTGCATTGTTAGCCTGTCAATCCCTGTGAGACCCTCAGTATGCTTCATTATCTTTCTGGTGATGTTCCTCTACCTGTGCCTGTAGTGTGCGTATGCTCCTAGTGCTCAGTGGTATGCAGAAAGCTTCCCACTGCCTCCTTCCATGCCACTCTGACTTCTACATTTTTGTTTCCAAAATAGGGCCAAGTGAATAAATGATTCTTTGATTCAGTGGCTGAACCAAAAAATAATACTCATATAATTTTCAGGTTGACCCAAAACTAAATATTTGGTGAATCAAAGCAGTTCACTTTCAAATGTTTAGTTTGACCAAGATAAATAGGTTGGTTTCATTTATGGGGGCATTTTTAAATGAAAGTAAAGGGCTAGATGCATGGAGGGGGTGGGGGGGAAGTTAGGTTCTGTTTACAAAACTGTGGAGGAGGTGGTGGCTTCTGCCCTGTTATTGCCTATGGCCCCATGGTTAGGACATTCTCCCGTAATGTGGGTGATTCAGGCTCAAATACTTTGTCTGCCAGATTGGGGGAACAATTAACTGTTGTGCTGTGGGATGTTAAAGGATGATTATCCTGTTGAAACTCTGCTACTTGGTATAGAGTATTTAAATATACATTGGAGCTGGGACTGGAACCTCGGGCTATGCCTTCAATATGTGCCCTCGCAGTTGGTCTAGAGAGAGTTATTCACCCTCTCGCTTCATTTTTTTATTCTGATGAAACTATTCACCAAATTCAACTTTAATTTGTAAATAGTCTCTGATCAAACCAAACCCCATTGTTTAGAGTAAATAAAGTATTCACCAAAGTAATCTCTTACTCCTACTCTGAACCTAGAAATCAGAAGCCATTTGTATTCAGGCTTCGCAGTCTGGTTCAGATAACTTTCAGCTTCCACCCTTTATCAGAATCAAATATAAAACTTTCTTGCAGTTCTGATATTTGGGGAGGTTTCCCCCCTGTTGCCGGTGCTCCTTTTCAATTCTAGCTGAGACTGAAACTGGAAGTAATGATGCAGGATATTCTAATGTGTTCAGCAGGAAGGTTTGGTTTTCATTTCTCCCTTTGCCACTAATTTGCTGGGTGGCTTTTTAAAAGTCACTTCCACACTCTACATCTCTCTCTTACCATCTGTAAAATGGCAATAAAAATAGCAATCAGTATACAGGCAAATGTGAGACTCAACATCAGTGGTTCTAAAGTATTCTGAAGAGATGCAATGACATTAGTATCAGAATGGAATAACAGTCATAGGAATATAGGAAGTGCTGTACATCTCACACAACAACTTTTGCAGACTTTAAAGCTTTGAAGAGGCTGGTGCAGTACTTGCTTTGATCAGTGAAGTGGGTCCCTGAGGCCTTCTAAGCAGCCAGGAAACTCACCCCTCATGTTAGCAATACTGCCAGTTCTTATGCTGATAGTCTCCATCTCATTCTGAGGTGTTCCTGCTGAGGGAAGACTGTAGGACTGGAAACCCTTGCTTTCAGTCCCCAAAGCAGCATATCTGAATGAGAACCTCTGCTGCCTGTTAGTGGTGTACAATCGCTTCTCAGACTTCTAGTCATGACATTGCTTTTTTAACTGGGACAATCTCATGCCATTTAAGTACTGGTTGTAGGATATTCGCAGTTCTCATTTTGGGGCCTTCAAAACTTCAGCCCATTATCAGGATGCTTTGTAACAAACAACTTTGTGACAGAAGAAAATGAATATTTGATGAGTATCATCCCATTGCATCATGATGCAGTGTCATTTTGATGCAGGATAATATGGTGTCAGAGCATCTTCTGTTATATCAAAACTCACTGCCATAATGCTATGACATCACAACATACATTTCATGACATCACAGTACACAAATTCCTCCTGTCAGACAAACTCCAAAAATGTAGCATCCACTAGGTGGCAAGACCATTACAGAGAAAGCAGATTGTGCTTTGGTAACCTCTAGGCCTCTGTTTCTGTACCTTTAATTTTACAAACTCCAGCTACCTTCATATGCCCAGCAAGGGTCCTTCCCAGCCCTAGATTTTTGCTAGAAATGAGCAAACTACAAAAGGTCACAAGGTTTGTTTTGGACTAGTACCAGATATATATCTAAACCTCTTGAACCTGGCAAACAGGGGACTCCTTCTGGAAATCTTCAAGAGGAGACTGGACAGACACCTTGTTGAGATCATTTGATATCAGCAATATTCCCGCCCAGAGCAGGGGGCTGGACTCAATGATCCTTCGAGGTCCCTTCCAGCCAATAATTTCTATGATTCTGTGACCTTTCTGCTACTGCTTCTTTCCCTTATCACCACAACAGGATATGTGAGGGACACAAAAAAGCTGGGGGAGAGGCACTGAATGGAGTGAACTTTTTCAGTCTACAGACAAAGGTTGGTTCTTATTTGATTTCAGCTTGTGCAAAGGTTTGGGTTAGTTCTTATTGGGTCCCAGTGCATTTGCCTATTCACATTACTGCACCATATTCCCTTCTCCGGACCTATAAAATCTATTCTGTCCCAAGCTTGCTGGTCTTTCCAAGCAGCACATCTACAGCCCAGCTGGATCTGCTTATCTGTCATTATCTGCCTGCTTTTTCCCATGGATGGGGGTGGGGGTCCATTTCTACTCAGCTACTTTTCTTTCAGTCCCTTCAGTGCTTTTCAAATAAAAATCATTTGGATGCCATGTGCTTTTAGTGGCTGTGCTGCTTGGATGGGGAATTCATTCTTGCAGGACTTTAGCCAAGACTTGCTTGCTCTCTCTGTTTTCCTTGGTGAATGCTCCTTATATCTGAATGATTGATTTTGTTTGATTTTGATTGTTAAGAGTTCTGGGATGTTTGCATGAAAGGTGCTACCTAAGCATAATCTGTGATATATTGTCTTTGCTTAATAGGAGCTGATGCCTGAAGTTTAGGAGAGTTTGGCCCTTCACTGGGACTGCTTTTTATTTTCAAGGTTTCAGGCAATGCAGCATGCCCTGTTCACTGTAAGTCTGAAAGGGGGTATGTTTAGTACAGGGCGGGCAATTATTTCAGGCAGATGACCGCTTACTGAGTTTTGGCGAGCCATCGAGGGCTGTATGACAGGCAGCCAGGGGCAGATAAATATTCATTTTCTAAATATTTTAGGGGACCCACGGACCAGATAGAATGACCTGGCAGGCTGCATCTGGCCTGTGGGCCGCATCTTGCCCACCCCTGGTGTAGTGGCACAGTGTTGATCACTCCTGTGTCTCTCAGGCCTTTGGACTGCTTTGTGGGGGAGGGATGTGACAATATTCAGAGTTTTCTCAGGACTGTGATTGGAAGCTCCATTGCTGACAACAAAAAAGTTGAATCAGGAGACTGAGTGGGTAGAACATGGCATTTCACAACCTGTGCAGCTGTTCAAATAAATGGGCAAGAACTTCCCCACTCCTGAAACCCCCACAATTTTGGAACCAAGTGTAGAAACCAGGCCCAGATAATTTGTACATACTGAGTTATTACTGTACCAGCATCATATCCTCCTCCGCAGGTCACACCTTGCCCCTGACAGATGGTTCAGCTAAATGAAAAGGATATGATTTTGGCTAAGGTGAATTTTCAGCATATTTTGTGGTTATAGCCAGAAATCAAAACATTTTGGGACACAGGGCAACAACCCACTCAAGAAGTAATAAAGAGCCCAATTCAGCTTTCAATAGCACAAGCTTTACTAAGACTATGGAGTAGCAAATTAATACCTAATATTATTAAGTATTTAGATCTCATCTTCTCTCCAGACAGGTTTCAGGAGTGCAGCCTAATGGCAGTTTCTAATTTATGAAGGAGAATGGTCTCATGGTCAGGGCCCTGGACTGGATTCCCCAAATCTGTATTTAATTTGTATCTCTAACACATGCTGCCTGTGCAGCCTTAGGCAGGTCCCTTAATCACTGTGCCTTCAATGACCTGTTTGTAAAATGTGGACCATAATACTTCCTTATCCCGGAGGGGTCTTTTAAGGATAAATCATCAGGTGCTCAGATATAATGGGCATACAGTTTTAAAAGCCTCAAAATATGTACAAAAATACATAGTTCCTGAGGTGGTAAGATAGTTGCTGTCACTAGGGACCAAATGATGTGCCAAAGTATGGTAACAGCATGATCTTTCAATAAAAGGACTTGTCAATGAGGGTGAGAAGTGCACACCTAATTTTTTTCAGTGCAGTGTTGCTATGACTAATTATAAGTATTTGTGCATAACATGAGCTTGCTTAGCCATGTTTGGCTGCATTCATTGACTTGATTTCCTAGGGTAGTCATGCCAATTGTTTGTGCAAATTCCTACTTAACTTGTTGGCCCATGCTATATTTTATATCTACAGTATATAACATGCTTTTTTTGCCTGCCAAAGAAATGCTCATGATCTAACACCTGCATCCCTCACTTAGTTTGATTCTTACTTTTCTGTTTCGAGGTGGCTTCTACACATTTCTACTTATGGGCTAAAGAAACACTGCACTCAAAGAAGTACTTGCCAGTAAGTAAATTTTCTCTATTAAGATATAACATTTCCCTAGGTGTTGCCTTAAACTATAATTATTATTTCTTAGTCTTCAATTTCTTGAATATTTGTGAATCATAACTTAAACCTCATGATGGGTTCAGTTTTCCTGAATCCCTTTTTCTTGGTGGCTGTCACTGTTGGCTTTGTTGTATTTAAAAAAAGGTGTTTTAAGGAAGAAAATAGTATTTATTTTTGATGAGCAAATAATGGAAGGAATGTCCTGTGAATAGTCACTCAAGTTAAGAAAGTATGAACTTTTCAAATTTTATTAGTGCATTTTTAGCTCAAATGTTTGCTGAAAGGAGATTTAAAATTTGTAATGTGTATTTATTTGATTAGTTATGAGTGTCATAACTTCTTGTTTCTAATTCTTCATTGGACATGTGTAACGGACCAACACATTACAAATGATGACTGTTTCAGTCAAATGTACAATTCACAATCTGCGCTTTGATAATTGGCTTACTTTAACAAATTGTAGCCTGAAGTGGGAATTTAAATGCCTTAGCAAGGGTCACAGTATAAATGATCTGTAGATCGAAAATTAGCAGTAGAAGAAACTAAAAATATGTTGGATCAAGACTTTTACAATGTTAATTGCAAAGAGAAGCATGGTAACACTAGTAGAATAAGCAAATAGTTGCAAATGACATGCCCTGTGTTCTCTTGTTTGCTTCTTTACTGTGTTCAGGAAGCTAAGAGATTCTTCTCCTGACCTCGTCTTGCATCCTTCATTTTGAATCTGTATTGCACATTTAGACTTGTTTAGGTCTAGAAACATGGAGGCTAGAGGTTATGGCATCTGTCAAAATATGGTGCAATGCAAGCAGGTTCTCACAGATGAGCGAGAGGAACAATGAAGTCAATATATAGGCTTATCCTGAGGTGTGCTAAATGTTTGTAACTCCTTTTTGGACTCCTTAAATGACTCTTAGAATCAGGCTACAGCAGAAAGTGGCCTCTGAAGGAATATATAGGGGGACACAGCAGGTGCCAAAAATATTTAGAATGAGTGGCTTTGCCTCAGAGGAAAACAGGAACTTCTTACAGGCCCAAAGATGCCTTTGAGCCACTCAGTAGGACACCTGTTTCAACACAGTCATCATTTCTGGGAGGAAGCAAAGATCTAGATCTTGCTCTCTGTTCTCAGTTACATAGAATTCAATAGATAATAGGTAAAAGAGCATCTTATTAAGTCACTGTAATATTGTTTCATTGTAATAGTTACCTCTGGATACAGCTTGATTATTGCATGAGGATCTTAATATAATACTTAATAATAAAAGAATAATATAAATCCCACTGTTATTTCAAGGGAGGCAAGAACTTACAGGCAGATCTAACAACCTCGTCATGATGCTGCCAGTATCAATGAGAGCAGGGTGTGGATCATGATTGGAGGCATTTCTACCACCTGCAGATTGCTCCAGCCATGGGAAACTGGTTTGATGTTTACCAGAGCATAGACTAAATTACAGGGATTTATATAGTTTAATATTTACCACAGAATTACCTCAAATGAGTCTTCCTCACATAATGAGGGTTTTCAAGGCTGCGTTACCGAGTCTCCCTTCTCTTTCTTGCAGGGTGGATCAGTGGCTCTCACCTCTGCCGTCAATAGCCCACAGAAAATATTTCACCAGCAATGCTTAGGGGAACAGCTTCTTTCAGGAGGTGAGTTCCCAAGGGCAGGGGAAGCAGGGTTTTTAATAGGCAAGACCTAACATGAAGATCAAGGGACCTGAATCCCAGTCCAGAGCTCAGAGATATGGGGAGCTCCTGAGAGCTGTTCTCAAATTATGGTGCTATATGTTCATGGCATAACACCCAATATAAACCAATGTCTCTGGGGTGTAGGAGTGGGTGCATTTATTAGAGCTGAGACCCAGGCCTCTTGGCTAGTGTTTGGAGGAGAGGGGTAGTTTAAATGTACTGTTCCCTGGCATTGTTCTGGTGTCTGAATTTGTAGGACTTTAATGTATTTAGCCTGTTAAGCACTGGGATTGTGGCTCCATTACCAAAACACAGCTATTGCCACTGTATGACAAGCTTTCCAGAGTGAAGAACATGCACCATAAGCCATCCAAGGGAAAAAGAGAACATTCATTTTGATGGGGAAGGCGTCTTTTTTGATAAACAAAAATGCAAGTACTTTAGTAGACATGGCTTGCATGTATAGACCTATGTAAGTGTCCAAAACCTTTCCTCAAATCCTGCTGTGGTAGAAGGAAGCCTCTCTTTACTCCTCCTCCTTCAGAAGTAAAGGACCTGTATTAAGTATGATGTCTAAACTTTTCCTGAAGCAGGGACTGCTGCATTCCAGGCAATGGGCAGCTGCCATCCTCAACACCCACACCTGACATCTCCACCTCTTATGCTGGCATCCAACAGTTCCCCTTCTTTCACTGTTTAGTGAAAAAGATAGCAGCTACCAGTCAGAACTAGCATCATGGAATCTACTGCTAAAATTGAAATTCATGGCTTTTAGGAATTCCCAGTACTAGTGCTTGTCAGGGGCTATGTTTAGATCAGGAGCAAAGCCCAGAGGCCCTTCCTTGCGAAATCAGACCTAGAACAGACAGGAAAATTAATAAAATTAGTACTGTTTATTTGTGAGTTATATAATGGTAACATGATAAAATCGTACAATAATATCTAGCTTGAGACTTTGAATGAAAACGAATCATCTCCATTTATAGAAACACCCAGTGAGATAACACTTTAGGATAAAAATCTTCTGGTGAAACATTGTGAGAGCTCCCCCTAAAGGAATAGGAACTTTCCTTCAAATAATCCCCTTTATGACATGTTTTGACCATTGCTCCTCTATTCATAATTCATGTAGCGCTGTTCCTCCATGTTATAAAGTGTGTAGGGATGCTGTGTTAATAAACATAGTATCAATACATGCGGTTTTTTACTTGAAGGGTCTCTTGTGTCAAAAAACAGTGGTGGATCCATATTTTCAAGTGTTTTGTTAATTAGTATATTAGTCAACTTTACTAATGTTAGTCTGTGTGCTACTTTATTATTACATATTATTTATATGCATTTGCCTATTGCTTTTCTCTTAGTTTGTTAATTTCATGCACATGTCATAGCATAAGCAATAAATACAATTTTATTGATTGACTCATTGGCTTTGGCATATTATGTCTAATGGTCACCTCCACTTCAGAACACATTGGCTTAGAGAACATCTCCCGTGCTCACAGGGGGTGTTCTCTTAGCCAGAGACTACTGTATTTTTTCAGACAATCCGCGGAAATCACTGCTATAAAATATAACACTAGAAACCAGACCTTCACGTGGTAAAAACAACCTGGATTAAACATGTACATGGATAATGAGAACATCCATAATTGTGCTAGATGAGATATAAAATGTAAAGGATGAAATGCTTGTTGTTCAGGAATAAGACAACCACTAGCATTACGGCTAAATTCATAGATTCATAGATTCATAGATTCATAGATTAAGGGTCGGAAGGGACCTAGTAGATCTTCTAGCCCGACCCCCCGCCAGGGCGGGAGAACAACAAAAACCCCAAAAAGAGAAATGGGACTCAAACGAGTCCAGC